ATGCGATTCCTATCCAATTTGCATGCAGTTTCCCCACTGCTCCTGTGTGAACCCAGCCTTGTCATAGCTCGAATTCACACAGGAGCAGGGCAGGGAGGTTTCCCGCAGCAGAGAGTGGGTGAATGGGGATGTATACTATGGAGGCAGATGCTGCATATTCTATTCTCAGTTGTAGGAGAGGAGAGAAAGCGGCAGGGATTTGAAATCCCCACCGCTTTCTTTCCTCTCATTACAGGGATGACAGTTTGGGTTAGAGGACTTTTGATTGGTCAGCAGCACCGTCACATGGACAGTGCTGACCAATCAGATGCCACCTAGCCTGAACTGTCATCCCTTCAAGGAGAGGAGAGAAAGCCGCTTCATAGGTCTGGGGATTTCAAATCCCTGTGACTTTCTCTCTTCTCCTTGCAGTGATGATATTATGGGCTAGACAGCATCTGATTACTCAGCACCGTCCATGTGACAGTGCTGACCAATCAACAGCCCTCCAGCCTGAATTGTCATCCCTGCAAGGAGAAGAAAAAGTGGCAGGGATTTCAAATGCTTTCTCTCCTCTCCCACCACTGAGACTTAGCATGGGATTCCTGCAGGGAGGTTCCCCGCACCGCTCCTGTGTGAACTCGTGCTATGACAAGCTTGGGTTCACATAGGAGCAGTGGGGAAAACGCAAGCGATTTGGGCAGGAATTGCATTCTTGTTCAAGTTGCAAGCTAATATTTGCAGTGCAATTTGCATTCATTAACCAAATTGCATCATAAAGTATTGGTTAAGATATCGGGAGTGTTTTCACAAGTACGAGTACTCATGAAAATACTTGGTGTAGGTATTGGTGCATCCCTAGTTATAACCCCTGTCAGTTTTGTTTCGCCATCTGCATCCTTTTGGCAATATCTACTTTCACTTCCTTTCCCATAGCCAAAACAGGAAGTGAGGGGAAATCCCTGAAAATTAAGTTAATCCCTCGTGCCCCCCCCCCCCAGCTCACCAGATCTAGTGTCTCCATTGAGTGAGTTGCCCTCTATTACTTTTCTGGAGACAGCTCAAAATTTGGGATTTTTCTTTACGTTCACTTTCAATGATAATGGTAAACAGGACAAATAGAGAGAGTGAATCTTCCTAACGGGAACACAAACAGCAATAGAAACTGACAGGGGTTCTAATCTATCTCCACTCCATCCAAAACTGAAAAAAAAGTTTTTCCATTAGTTGTACTTTAAAAATGCTACATTTAATGCACTCATTAGATGCAGATAACACAAAGGGGTTGATTTACTAAAAGCAAATAGACTGTGCACTTTGCAAAGTGAAGTTGCTCCAGAGCTTAGTAAATGAACAGAAGCTCTGTTGACTGTGTTTTTTTTCAATTTTCCTTGCTTGTGATTGGATATTCCTTGCAAAGTGAATATTTACCTCATTTTACAAAGCTCTGGAACAACTGCACAACTGCACTTTGCAAGGTGCACAGTCTATTTTGCTTTAGTAAATTATAACCAAAAGTACCTAATAAAAGTATAACCCTATGTTGTTATTATTAAAATTGACACATACAGTATATGTAAATCATTCATAAAAATACATTCTTAGGCTCCATGCACTGTAGGCTTAAAATAAACACCAGAAAAAAAACGTTCATATAAAGCGTTTTTGTACAATGTTTAGGTCAGTTTAGGAGTGTTTAGCATTTTTATTTTGGTATAAAACTCCAATAAAAAAATGCAAACCAGAAAGGTTTTTTTTCCCTGCCTCTAAACGCTTAAAAGTTTAAAGCTTAAAATATGCCTCTAAACGTTCAAATGTGCGTGGACACATAGGATAACAATTTTTTTGAGATTTTTAAGCCTGTGTGCATGGAGCTTTAAAACAGGTGGAATTTATATGCTATTCTCACAAAATGCCTCTGGGGGGAGATATATTACAACAGAAATTATTTTCTTTCTTTCCATGGCAGAAGAAAAACTATGTAACTATTGTGTATACTGTAAAAAAGGAAACAATGAATTACTCAGGAATAAAAAAGATAACATAGCTGACATATTGAAACAAAAATGTAAACCTTAAAGAATATAAATCGGCTACAAGGCCTCTTGCACACAGATTGTCTGTTTTAGGCCCCATGCACACGGACACTTCTGAACGATGGAAACTGACTGCTGGAAAACGTAGGTTAAAAAACATCTGTTTAGCCACGTTTGCATACCGCGTTTACATGTGTTTACATTTAGAGGCGTTTTTTAAAGATAAGCACAGGAGAACCTCCCAAATGCCCAGAATGCACTGAAAAGTGATACATTATTAACTATTGCAGACTGTTTCAGAGAAATACAGAGAGTAGAAGCAGAAACAGCAGTATGTGTTGAAATTAGTTTAGGTGTGAGTTGCTCATTAACATTTCTTTTGTTTCCAAGGGTGGGAAAGGTGTCTGGTGGAGTGAGTCATTAAGGTCACCTGGCAGGGGGTCTGCATGAGGAATTTGAGGTGTGAATGGTGATTAACATATCTTTGGTTTCCAAGGGTGGGAAAGGTGTCTGTTGGAGAGAGTCATTAAGGTCACCTGGCAGGGGTGACATGAGGAATTTGAGGTGTGAATGGTCATTAACATATCTTTTGTTTCCAAGGGTGGGAGAGATCTGAGGTGTGAATTGGTCATTACAATGTGTGACAAGCTTGGTAGGAACATCCTGTGTTAGTGTTTTTGTCCATCTGAGCACCTTTAAAACGCTTTGCATGCATTTTTTATGATAAAAAAAGGCTCTGGACAGCATCTGGAACTGGAAGAGTTAAAAAAAATTCAGACGCAAATTCTTATAAACGTGATTTGCCGCTCTTAGCCACATCTAGCCAAGTTTACAAGCATTTATAAGCGTGTTGCGTTTGAAACGTTGATAAAATAGACTGCTGAATGCAAGTTTTCTGCGTTCAAAAAAATGACTGTAAACTCAAATGCCTGTAAACGATGATGTGTACATGGACACATAGGAAAACATTAGAGTGAGTTCAGGGGCTGCTGAAAAAAATGCTGAACAGCTCATAAACGTGAGTTTATCAGCTGCATTGTACATGAGCCCTAAGCCCATCTGAAAACCAGAACAACTGGCAGGAAAAAGTTCAAAAAAATCGCTGCAAAAGCCACCTGCTACTGATGCATTTAAAGGTGTCTAGTGTTTCAGTGTTAAAGCATTCTAATGGCCACTGAAATGCATTAGCAGTCAAATGCTAATGTGTCTGGCATTTATGTGCATTTAGACGCATTTAAGTGTGTTCAGCGTTTTTTCTGCTCTTTAGATCCTCTTTGAATGTGCCTTTGGTGGCTTACATAGAGGTGCTTTTACAGGCCAAAAAGGTAATAAGTTCTGTGTGTATGAGGCCCAATAGTATGTCAATTAAGTGATAGTAAAAATAATTGTATGAGCTGGTGCAGTGAGAGTGGCTGGTTTCACACTGATCTGTGTGAAGAAAAAAAAAGTGGAAGAAAAATGTGTGATCATGTATTCTTATGGAACTCTTCACACTGATCCATTGCGGGCCAGGTATTTTTTTTTTAAATCCTGCTTGCTCCATTTTTGGTGCGGTAAAAAAAAAAATGCACCTCCCTATTTAAATGAATGGAAAACGCAGCAAAAATGCTTTGTAAACGCACCCACGGTGCATTTATAGGGTGTTCTTGAGTCACATGTCCTGTAAAAACACACTTCAAATGCGGTAAAAATGTGGTAAAATGCTGTACAACCGCGGTAATAATGCACATGCGTTTTTGCAGAATTTTTGCTTGTGTGAAACCAGCCTAATTAATAAAATGATACATGAAAATGACTCTTGGAGGAATGTTTAAAATGAGTGTACCATTTGTATAAAACACATGAGTAAAAAAAAGCAAAGGGACTAAGCCGCATGAAGGAACCCATTTAAATTCAGTTTGGATCTACTTATCCTGTAAAAGGAGTGTTTTAGAAATGAAACTGTCAAAGGATGGTACGTATTTCCAACTCTTTGTTTAACTCTATGGTGGTTAAAGTTTACAATGTGTAGACCTAACATGTCCCTTGGCTACTAGGGACGAGTTTCGGGTTAAGAGTGACCACACGTTTGACCTGAACGCAATCTGTTTACAATGGCAGAGTATTGTGATTGTTCACCACCATAGCAACCATTGCCAGTTAGGCACTTTAGAAACCAATCAGCTTCCAGGTTTTGTATTCAAAGCTTAACTGGACAAGCTGAAGTTAGAAGCTGATTGGTTACCATGCACCAGATACTGAGTAGATCTGTTTTTGTACATATCCCCCATTGTTCAGATAGAGATTGATATTATTATTATCTTTTCTGAGGACAACCCAAAATTTTGGATTTCCCTTTACATTCACTTTCAATGATAATGGTAAACAGGACAAATAGAGAGGCTGAATCTCCCTAATGGGAACACAGACAGCAATAGAAACTGACAGGAGGTTCTAATCCATCTCCACTCCATTCAAATCTGAAAAAAAAAGATTTGCTGTTAGTTGTACTTTAACCACTTGTCTACCGGGTACTTTCGCCCCTTCCTGCCCAGGCCAATTTTCAGATTTCAGCACTGTCGCACTTTGAATGACAATTGCGCGGTCATGCAACACTGTACCAATATTGTTATTATTTTTTTGAGACAGATAGAGCTTTCTTTTGGTGGTATTTATTCACCTCTGGGTTTTTTATTTTTTGCTAAACAAACCAAAAACAACTGAAAATTTTGAAAAAAAATTTTTTTTCTTAGTTTCTAAAATGTTGTAAATGAGTAATTTTTTGTCTTCACTGATGTGCGCTAATGAGGCTGCAGTGACGGGCACTGATAGGCTGAACTGATAGGCGGCATTGATGAGGACACACTAGTAGGTGGCACTGATGGGCACTGAAAGGCAGTACTCATATATGGCATTGATAGGCAGCACTGACTGGCACTGATAGGTGGCACTGACTGGCACTGTTAGGCGGCACTGACTGGCACTGTTAGGTGGCACTGATGGGCACTGATAGGTGGCACTGACTGACCCTGATAGGCGGCGCTGACGTGCACTGATAGGTGGCACTGATTGGCAGCACTCATAAGCGGCACTGACTGGTACTGATAGGTGGCACTGACTGGCACTGAAAGTCAGCTCAGATGGGCACTGATATGTGGCATTGATGTGCACTGGTAGGCACTGATATGTGGCATTGATGGGCACTGATGGGCACTGACAGGTGGCATTGATGGGCACTGACAGGTGGCACTGATGGGGCTACACTGATCATCAGGGTGCTGATCATCAGTGCCCTGAAGATCAGTGTAGTTGTCCCCTCTGAGGAATGCTGACTACTGGCTCTCCTCTCCTCATGAACTGTCAGCGTGACAGCTCGTGAGCAGAGGAATGAGGGTAACCGGCATTTCCTTATTTACATGCGATCAGCTGTGATTGGACAAAGCTGATCACATGACAGAGCCAAAGTCATTGTCTCTTTTCTCTGATTGGTGATCTGCTGTGTCCCAGGGACACAGTGCACCACTGATCGCCGCACAGCGTGCCCCCGGGGGCGTGCAAACACGGTTAGAGTGCAGCATAAGCACTGGCTCTGAGGAACTGGTACAACCTCGAAACGACACTAGCTATCTAGAGGTCTACAGTCCCCCACCAGACCACCTTCAGGGGTTTGGACCAGATTGCATCCCTTGTGACATGCTTTCCATTTGATTTTATTTCTCTTATGAGTATTTTACTTTTTATAAATAAATCTCATTTTTAAAGGTAATGCACTAGGCCCGTGTGCCCTCTTTTTGTTTCCTATATGCAATTTCAAAGTGGGGTCTAATACAAGCAATTTAATACTGCGCACATAGGTACTGCATTATTTTGGGAACTTTCTTCTGTGATTGGCTGCGGCGGGGAAGCAGGCTGATCACATCACAAACTCCACCTCAGCCAATCAGAGAAAACTTTTTATTCATTCATAGAATGCAAAACGTCCTGTGAAAGACTGAGCAGCGCTCAGTCATTCACAGGAACACCGACAATTTTTCTGGTTTTTCTCAGTGATACCCTTTCGATTATGCTGCCCACTACTAAATCTGTTTATATAGTATGCATTAAATCTGTGTCATATGTAATACACTTTCATTTTAATCACTTATTTAAAACCCTGCCTTCTTTCTCCTTTTGAAATTGTAGTTTTGTAAATATTTTTGCTATATTTCTGGCTGTAGTCTTTGAAATATTAAACTGCATTTTTTGTTTATAATTTGTAATCTAATTATAATTTTTATTTATAACTTCATGTATAACCTTTAGCTTTTCATTAATTAGATCGCATCAGTCAGTTGATGCTGACAGTCACTTCCAGAGCTGCCTTTATTGTCCCAGCACCTCACTGCATCCTAAGGGCTCATGTACACTGCAGCTGATAAACTGATGTTCAGGAGCTGTTCAGCGTTTTTTTCAACAGCACCTGAACTCTTCCTAATGTTTTCCTATGTGTCCATGTACACTCTGTCGTTTACAGTCATTTACAGGCAGTAGAGTTTACAGTTGTTTTTTTGAATGCACCAAACTTGTGTTCAGGAGTAGATTTTACCGGCGTTCCAAATGCTTGTATGCGTTTATGTTTAGAAGCCTTTTTTATCTGTTCCATGTGCAGATGTTGTCCAGAGCCGATTTTCATCATCAGAAATGCATGCAAAGCATTTTTCAGGTACTCAAATGGACCCAGTACACCAGCGCAGTCAGTTTTCGTGTGAAGGAAAAAATGGTAGAAACGTGCTGCATTATGCTCATGATGGGATCCATAGTGAATACAACCAGAAAAGACAGGTCATCTCAACAAATACTGCTCTCTCTGCTTCTGCTCTCTCAATTTCTCTCAAAATGTCTGAAATAGTACATTTTTTTATGTTTTTCAGTGCATTCTGGGCATTTGGGAAGGTCTCCTGAGGTTATCTTTTAAAAATGCTTCTAACGCAAACTCACATAAACACGTTATGCAAATGCGGCTAAACTGACATTTTTTAACCTACGTTTTCTAGCAGTCTGTTTCCATCGTTCAGAAGAGTTTTCCATACGCCCTGTATACATGAGCCTAAATCTACCCCCCCAAAAAAATTAAGAAATAGAATTTGCATCCAAAACACATTACACCTATACCCCAGGTTATTAACATGGAGTTTTTTGTGACGATCGCGGTGTCAGACCCCAGCCCTTCTCACCAACTCCTGACCGAAGGACTAGCCAATCTAAAACCGCACTGTCATGTGCGTAACAATACCACGCTCAGCTGCACCCTGCACAAAGATTTTCCAGCTAATGGACCACAACCTATGTGCCGCAGCCTGAGAGCGATTGTTACTGGGTCAGGTTAATTACGCAACTAACCCTTTACACTGCCACCACCACCTTTTTGTACAGAGTAGGAGGAAACTCACCAATATTAGCAATAACACTATGATGTTTGAATTGTCTGTATACCACTGTCACCACAGGCAGAGATATATAGAGGTTTTAAAACACATAGTAGCACTCTTCAGAGACAGGGATTCTTAGTTTGCATTAAAGAGCTTTAGAAACAGTTCAACGCTTTTCAGATAATAGGATTTATTACTAAAAAGGTCAAAAGGGTGCAATAAAAATATTTACAGAAAAAGATGTAGCCAATATATATATATATATATATATATATATATATATAATATACAGAGACCAATAACACAGGAAAGAGATAACAGAAAGAAGTTTAGAGAGGTAAAGTACTTGCCAAAAGTCCTGGGTTAGGCAGATCAAGTTTCAGAGCAAAAGGGGTGTTATCTCCCAAGTTGGTTCCGATGTTAAAAGGGAGATTTCTTCAACTTCAACTCAACGCAGCATAACAGCCTTTTTCTAGGAACTCAGCAGGGAACCAGTAGAGAACAGTACAGTAGAGAACCAGTCGCCTCATTTGGGGAGCGGTGTTGGAGGCGGGGGAATGCAGACTAGAACCAAAATCCCTCATAAGTGACTACAGGGCAATAACCTTCCCTGGGTACATGTACCATTCTATCCACTAGTAGATTAATATGCAGAATCATCTGCTGAACGTCTAGATATGAAACATGATATAGTTCACTATTTCAGCTAGAACTATATGCTTTCTGCTCTCCTGTAGCTTTCCACGAGGGGGTGTAAGATATCAGGCGACTTGTATTAAACTGAGCCATCCGAATATGTGCTCCATGTTTATGTAATTATTTCCTATTTGAAGATATAAAATTATATGGAAAAGTGGGTTTTAAAAATGCAAGTCTGTTTTACAGCTAGCTGGAATGTCTTTGAAGCTCAGTGAAGGACTGGTTTATGGCTTTACGATATCTCAGATTGAGAAGCTAACAGACACTCGGGCACCAACTAGTTTGGGATTTATAACTATGAAGCTGTCCCGCTGTGCCTGATTGCCTGTGCACTTCTGAACCGTAGAGCACAGGGACCACGTGTCACTCAATAGAGGGAGGGGGGATTGGAGGAGGGAGAGAGATACAAGATGGAGGATCCTTAGCAAGATGGATGACCGCGTCCATCTCTGTGTGCACAATTGCTACACTTTTCAATTCTGCTGCAGTAAAATCCTCTCAGCCCTGACACATGCATTAGGGCAGGCGTATACCTAAAGTGCATGGAGGACCACCTCCCACTAGCATTCCAGCATGAATACCCAGTACTGAATGAAAATGAATGTTACAAGAGAATGCATTCCCCCCAAAAATGTGCACCCTTACTCCAGGTTATAAAAATTCTCAACCACCAATTTCTCTGAGAAGACACATGCAGAGGGCCTCCTGCTTGTCTTTGCTTGTCCTGTTATGGGATGTCCCAACAAATTAAAAAATAACAATGTTTCATTATAACAACTGAGAAAAGCTAAACTTAAAATAGTGTGCTAACGGAATAACATAACAGAAAAAATGTTATTGTTGGGAAGGTAAACTGGCTGGGTCTGGACTGGCCTTTTACTCTCAGCCCTATCAAAGGTCATGTTTCTGCCCTTTCTGTCTTTGTATCAGACACTGTGGGCCTCTCTCTCCTTGAAAACAAAATATGTAAAAATATGAACATTAAAAAAGAACGGCATGCAAAGAGCAACTCCAGTGTGGTGGAATAAAGCCACCAGATTAAAGTGATACTAAAAATTTGAATGTTTTGTTTTAAAAATACCAAACGTCATTCTTACCTGCTGTGTGCAATGGGTTATAGAGATATATAATACATCAATTGTGGAGAAAAAAAAAAAAATATCCAAATTATATGAGTAAAATAATCGAAAATATAAAAATGTATATAATTAAAATTGATAAATAAAAATATATATACTTAAAATTAATAATTCATAAATGTCCAATATAGTTGAAGATCCAATCATAAGTTAGATCCCATCAGAGTGGGACTATTCACTGCAAATTAACTGTTCACATAATTCCGGATAAAAATGCTCAAAATAAAATGAGTTACTTGGTGTGTTCTTCTATAAGTAGCAAACTGAATGGTTCTCCTCTTTGCTCCTACTATTCTGCTGTTAATGGATCCTGGGTAAGGTCTTCCCTCCAACAGTTGTTATATGCTTTCTACCTGTTACTCAGCATATTGCCAGAGGAAAAAGAGAAAGGAATAGTGCCTTATCCTTGCTGAGCATAAGAATTTATTGGTGCCAATTTTGCACTTACAGATTTAAAAACATCAAAACGCTTTTAGTGTGTAATGTGTCCAGCCTGAACAGTGTGTGGACACACACTTCCTGTACTCGCCGTGCATAGGAGTCCGGGTACGTGGTGACGTCAATGCCCCTCTCCAACGCGTTGCGCCACAGGGTCACGTGGCTTCGTCCGGGGGATGTGATTCTAAGTAAAACATGTTTGTTATTAAAAAAAAAAAATAAGGTTTACAATCACTTTAATTTACTCTATCCATTAAAATGCATTAATGTGCAAATGCGTGAATGGCCTAAACCCATCTAAACTTTATGTGCGCTTATGCGCTTTAATGCTTGTTCGCTCTTTTTCTCTGTCCAATGTTGCTCTTCTGTACATGCTGGTGATGTTTTTTTTTTCTTTCAGCTTGTAAGCGCTCCTCTTTTAAAATGTTTGTAAACAATTCACTGTGTCCAGATCTCATTTTCCACACTATTCAATTAATGTATTTTGAGTGGGTTGCATAGTTTTATTCTGACTTGGTGGGTTTTGTAGGCATTGAAATATACCTATTTTCTGCTATACTACAGGCTTACTTTAAATAATGTGAACATACTATGCACATGTTTTGCAGTACAGTAATACCTCGGTTTACAAAACACCTTGGTTAACGTAATTTTCGGTTTACGGATGAAAATCCATTGAAAATAATGTCTCGGTTTACAAATTTTTTGCAATTTTTTTTTTCGCAATACCAAGTGTATGTCAGTGCTGATTTTTTAAAGGGGGCTTCCAGATTCTGATAAGCCTCCTGCCCGCAGACCCCCACAA